AACAAAATAATCAAAAACAAAAAAAAAAAAAAAAAAAAACACAAACCCAAATTACCCCAGCAGGAAAAAAAAAAAAAAAAAAAAAAAACTTGAAACAGTTTCAGGTTTTATTCACACGTAATTTAATTCCCATGTTTGCATATGAACCCAATCAGCAGATCTATTGCAGTTCAAATGTAACAGTTAATTTTGTGTTTATTTACTGAAATAAATTATTCAACCAAATGAAAGCTCTTATTGTTTTAAACTTTTTCCCATTTTCTTTGTAAAAGAATATTTTGGATTTAAAATTCTTCACACAGCCCAAGTAAAGACAATGTGTGTCAGGACATTTTTGGACTCCAGTGCAACCACTGTGTGTTACAATAAGACATTGTAATAGTGTTTGAGATTTAGTTGACCAGGCAAACTTTTTTATGAATATGTAAAAAAAATTCCCTGCAACAACTAGAGTTGATTAAGAAGAAATTGGTTGATTTATGATCCGACTGATTGGTGCATTTCTAGTTGCACAGATGCTGTAGCTTCATTAAGACAGAAATGACTGGCCTCTGTGGAAGTGGTGTCAGATAACCGGGACATGAGACAGAATACTACAGACTGCTACCAGATGAATGTTTAATGCACATCCTCATGGCATGAACCCAAACTCAAAATGTTTTAAATTTTTAGTTGTTGAGAATTTGTCTTGACAGCACAAAATAAATACCTTTTCTGTAAATTAATGCCTTATTTTCCCATTCTTATAATATAATGGGCCTGTCAGCAAAGATTTTTTTTCCCATATATTTCTGACTTTTCAATGTTCTCTTCAAAGTTCCATTGTTCTCACCTTTTCATCCTCCAGGTTCTGCAGCGTTTCCTTCCCTCCGCTGCTGCAGATCTGCACTTTGTGAGCGTCGTTTCCCGCGGGGCTTTCAGCACCTGCTGGGCTCCCTGTCTCCCCCTGACCGGCCTCTCGCTTAACGGTCCTCGGGGTGCGAGAACCCCTCTGTCCGACGCTGAGGGCATCGAAATCAATAGTTTTACTGTCAAACGCGTCCTCCACGCTGCAGAACAAGCCGCCGCGTTTCTGCCGGGGGACCTGATCGGCCGTTCCAGGACGGGCGAGATAAACCGGCAGCTCCTCCTCCACTTTCACCCGCTGTGCCCTGCGCTCTGCCATCACTGGAGCTCCAGCCCGAGGAGGAGGAGGAGGATGTCGGGGAAACGAGAGCCAAAGTGATGCGTGGATGCGCTTGTGTGAGGAAGCAACGGAGGAGACACGAGTTGAAGTGAGGTAAAGAGGTGGCGCTGTGGGGGAGCTGGCAGGACTTTATGCTTTATGATGTGACCTTATATTCTATTTTTGTATCATTTTGTTCAATTAAAAGCAACTTCGGTAGAGGAAGCATTGTAGCTTTTATGTCGTTGTGATAGTGGTGGGTGATATGGCTCCTTGCCCAGGGCAGCATGGCCAAAGGGCGTCAGCAGGGGATTCAGCATTTTTTAATGTTTCTTGTTCACTGTTTATGAACATATCCAGTGTTTCAGAATGGAGTAGGCCCAGCAGGAAAACGACGTACAGCTGCTGATAAAGTTAGCATCTGACTGACAGGGAAGCTACAGTTTGGGCTAAAAAAAGAGCTTTTAATTTAGCTCTTTAAATTAAAAGCTCTTGTTGCTTTTAATGTATCGCTGTTATTTCTCTGAATGGCAACAACAGAGAACAAGATTCTTCATAACACATCTGCTTGTTTTTAATAAGGTTCTTCTTATTAAACACAAATATGTCATAAATTTTAGATGTATTAAACATTTGTCTTCTGCTGTCAAAACACAAAAAGTCAATTTTCAGAGCTTTGTTATCATTAGAACTACTTTAGACAGTGAGTGTGAAACAACTATATCGACCACATTGTTTCTATTTATATAATAAAATAAAGTTGCAGTTAACACAGTAGGCAGCATTTAAAAACATCTTACAGACATTCATGTTAGATGCCAATAATAGTTCTGAGGTGACACACTAAAACCAAAACTTGTCACAAAAATGTAGTTTTATTATTCTGCTACAATGCCCAGCCAGCATGCCTAGGTGGGCCCCATGTGGGGGAAACGAGAGCTGATATATGGGTCCCATATGGGTTTGTCCGCGGGTTCCACGATGGCCCCACATGGGTTTGTCCATGTAGGGCCACAGCCCACATGGGCCCTACATGGGCACTAAATGGATTGGGGGTCAGGGTAAGGATGTGTCCAATTGGGTCTGTTGAAGTTGAATTGGGGGAAATTTGTCAACAGTGAAATGTAACTACATCACATGCAGTTCTCACACATTTCTTCAAATCATCGCTGTCCTTTCAGCACCTCTTTAGCTACTTTGAACATAAGTCAAAGTATGATGAAGTTGATGATTTTTTTGATGCATGTCTGACCCTCCAGCGGTGCTGATTGCTGATGTCAGCACAACTGTGACAAGACTGCATCAGCAACATGGGTGACGAGCAGATCCTGGACGGAGAGGCTGCTGAGGCCAGGAGTCGGACCTGACGGCTGAGCAGGGCAGAAATGATGCAACAACTGCTTTAGAGAACAAATAAAGCTTGTTCTTGAAACTTTACCTGCTTCATTGTTTGATTTCTGATAAACAATAAAAAAAATTAAAAGCTATATTGTTATTTAAAAAGATAGTTTACCCTGACAAGCTCCTCCATCTGCTGAGCTACAAAAAACAACAGAAAAAACTGTCTTTGCTACAGAGCCAGTTTGGTGACATGGGAGAAAAAAAAAGTAGCCATGACTTAAAAACTTGTGGGAACAACTTATTTATTTAGTGGGAATTATAACAAGTCATGGCTACCGGTTATTAAGTCATAGCCATAATCAATTAAGTTGTGGCCACAAGTTATTAAGTCCATTAAGTTCAGTCATTAAGTTTTAGGCATGACTATATAACTCATTTTCTTTTTTCTCCCATGTCATCAGACTGACTCCATATTTTGCTGCCTTCACAAACAGGAAAATGTTCTATAACTGAAATGTGTTTGAAATGATCTTTGTTCACTGTGAAATACTAGAGGTAATCAACCGCAGCCCAGATTCTCCAAGAAACATTTAAAACACTTGTTAAGGTTTATGTATGTCTGCGTATGTGAAAGTTAATGAACCTAACATGTGTTAAGGACTTCAACAGGTCATCTGGGGCTTTGAAAAGCATTTATGATGGTTTGATGTCATAATGACAGCTGGGGTGAATAACAAATATCACCCAGAGTGTTGAGGAACTGAAAAAATCTCAAAACCAAAACATCCTCAGGTCTCATCTCACAGGATTTTATATCTGAGCTGAAAAGCCAAGACCCTCTTATTAAGTGTCCTTTTCTCCAGTAATGCTCCCCCCAGCCTTTACACAGTAAACAGATAGCGCTCACACACTTACATGTTGACACTATCCAACTCAGCTGTTAGAAAGAATCAGCATGATGTGAAAGAACAATGACAGGGCTGGAAGGTCGTACAGAGTGTGTGCATCCGACAGCGCAGTTTGTTTTTCTGCTGCGAGGGCAGAGCTGTTTGTCTGCAGGCATGCTAAACCAGACCACACTGACTTCACAGATTTTGGAGACATCATGACAGAGACAGTTGTTTATTTCCTTTTTGTAGGACACTGTCAAAGTAAATCCCTTTTCATAAACAGACAGAAACTTTCCCAGCTGTGGACATTTTGACAAGCGCAGCCCTGCTGCACAAAGTTTTGCTCTCTGCTTCAAAAAGTTCCTTGACCACATATTGCTCTGACCTAATGAGGCTTTTAAATCAGTAACAGAGCAGGAAACTATCGCCATCTTCATTTTAAAATGGATGCAAGGCGGCCAGCTAGTAAACAAAAGCTCTCATGTTCCTCTGGATTAAGTGCATGCTCATTCAGGCACAGTGGATTGAAGGCAGATAGGACAGAGTTTGGCAAATTCACGGCCACTGGTCTTCATGGATTTGGCACGAGAAGCCTCACGGCGGCTGGGACCTTTAAGGAAGGAGGTATGTAGGCCACCGTTCGTCAGACAAGTCGATGGAATTAAAGTCAAATGGAAGGCAGGAATAAAGGAGGACTGACAAGCAGCAAGTGGGCCTGGATCACTGAAGGAAGGACAAAACATAAGGATGACAATCACCAAGTTTGAGAGATTTTACAGATTTGAACTCTCTTTGAAAATTATAGGTTTTAAAAAGATTTATCTGGTGATATGGGGTGATATTCTAAACCTCAGTTTTTAAGTCTTGGATTTCACTTTGGCTCCATAATTTTATTGCTTCCATATATTTTTGTTTATTTCTACATCTTGATAATTATGCATGATATTTTTATTGCATGCTGATGACAAAACCTCAGTGACTAATTGAAGACAATATCTTTAAAATAAACTATTTAAAATAAAACTAAAGAATATGCAATGTTAGTGATTCTGCAGAAATTCTGATCTTTATTCTTTGAAAGAAAAGGCATGAAAACACTGATTTTTTTTTCATATTTCCCTTCCTTTGCTCATACTTTACAGATCAGAAAACAAGAAGTACAATATCAATGTGTTATGCTAAAACAAAAATACTCATGTTGACTGCTTTAAGACTGAATTCTTCATACGGTCTTGACTTCTTGTGGATCTCAGCCTTCAGTGTAAAATCAGATCACACCAGGGCTGCGTCCGGCGGCTGACCTGTGGCTGGGCAGCTGCCTCCGCCTGGGATGGTTTGGCTCCTGACCAGCTGCTCCTCAAATTAAGTTAAATTGCCTCCCAGGATGTACATGATGTAATTTCAGCCTGAACCCCCACTCACACTGAAGGACACACTAACAAAGACTCCTACTGGAAGTCATTTACAATGGCCCATCATCTACAAATGTATGTTTTCACAAAGTTTTGGGAAGGAGGAGAACCACGAGACACAAACGCCTTCTCACTGTGAAGAGACGACACTGAACACTTTGTTTCTGTGCAGCCCAAAAGCAGATACATCAACAGTAATTACTGTAATATGTCCAGAAGAAAACTATGCAGACAAAAATGATACCTCACACATGAGTTTCACTTCAAACTTTATTTCCCTTTTTGAACTAGTTGTAGAAGGCAGTTGTTTAGTCAGTCCATGTATTGCCCTCTGCATGAGTGGTGAAATGATGCAAAGACAGAATGATGTAATTTTTTAATGACAGACATCCTTTGGCAGGAGAAAGCTCCGGCACAAAACCAGTTTCAAACTTCCTGTTCTTGTCTTGCTTGGCTGGCAAGGACAGTAAGTGGAAAGACAGACTGTTATCCTGGAACCACTCGGCCTTTCAGAGGCCACAATGTGGAAAAGCACAATGTTTAACAAGCTTGTTTGACAAAGGAGGCCCCCCAGAGCCTTCTAGAAATACTTATGTATTTCTAGAATGAACCAAAGTCTTAGAACAGTTAAACATTGAGCCTTTGTATGACAGAGCTGCAGTGAAAGAAATGCATCACAGAAACATTATTTGTGTAAAAAGGCAACAGGATGAGTGGACACATGATATATTTGTCTTTTAAATATCAGTGAAGCAGAAGATGGAGGGAATCTGGACCTTAATGAGCTGAACAAAGCAGAACTCTGTAAGGTGGGACACAATGACAATGGCAGTTAAAGGGCAATAATGACAATAAAGTGTGATGTGAAAAAAATATCATTTCTGAATAAAGCCACAGAAAATGGTATGCATAAATGGAAAAAGAAATCAAACTTTTTTCCAACCTATACAACATGTGGAATTAAAAACGTCTAAGTCTAGTTTATTAAATAAATATATTCTTGCAAAGGAAATAAATAAAACAAATGTGTGCTTTTGAAAATAATATTAGAAAACATCACCTTCGTAAAATATGTCATTTTGGGCCAAAAAAAAAAAAAAAAGAAGAAGAAGAAGAAGAAGAATCACCCCTTTGTATTGCAAAACAGATCATTTTTGGCAAAAAAAATAAAAAAGAAAAAAGAAAAAACTTGAGGCATTATTTTAGGAAGGTGACGATAATTTTCATCACATCTTAGCCCAGCTTAATATGCAGCAGTTATAAAACGCCTTGCAGAAGTATTTATACCCTTTGAACATTTCTGCATTTTTTCAGAACCCCAAACCTCAATGCCCTTTTTTTATTCTGGTAGAGAAACATAAAACAATGATCACCGGATGTGACAATGACATAAACATGAAGCACCGTTCAGCCCTGCATCCAGAGGTGGAAACGTATGAGCATCACCTGCAAACCCACCTGGGAAAGGAGACCATTAGTCAGGGAAGATCTGGAGAACCGGTGGTGGTGAAGAGTTTTGGGCAAAGTGAAAATGTGGAAGTGAGAATTATTTCCTTCAGAGGGCAAGATGGTGGAATCTAAACACAAGGTTTCTTTATTGGTATGTTTAAAACATATTTAAAAATTTGTGTAATTTCCCTTCTAATTCACAGTTATGCTTTACTTTCTGTCATAAAATTCACTAAAAATGAAATAGATTTTTTGGTTGTAACATGAACTCATGCAAAAACTCAAAGGGTATAAATGCATTTACAAGGAACTGTAGATCAAACAGAATCCATCTGTTTATATGACAAATATTGCATAAAAACATAATAGTATTTAAAATGCTCACTTTCAGCATAAAACAATGAAACAAGTTTTAGGTATATTATAAGTCTATAAGTGTATTTGACTTATTTTTTTCTTTGCTACTTCAAATAAAATATAAAGGGTTTTCATTATTATTGGAAGACACTCAAGAGACAAAAACATAAAAAATGTCAAGTATATGAAATGTGACGTAGTAATGAAAAATAAATAACATTTATGAGAAGAAAAGGGAGAATGCATCCAGGGCGACTGCCAGCAGAGTTAGCACAACAAGTTTGAGTGAAGTGAGTGGAGTGGCTGTGTTGCTGCTCTGCATTGTAATGGGATCCCAGTTTGAAGCGTGGCCTGTGAATGGAGCCCAAGGTCGAATGAAGGCAGATTCCTTTCGTCCCGCTCAGGAACACGGAGAACAGGAACCTGCTAGCTAGTGAATATTTCAGCCTCTGGGCAGAGTTGGCTTCAGGGGAGGGAAGTCGGTGTAACATTGCGCTCACTTTCTCCTGTTTCACCCTGCAGAAGCAGAACTCTGCATGGCTGTTTGGGTTTAGTTCAAGAAAGCTGTTAGTATCAAAGAACTTTTGGTTAGTATAACAAGAACAAAGCAAGAAAACCTGCAGTATTCTTAGGCTGGGAAGTGCTAGACTTTTTTTCATTAAAAAAGCCATTTAAATTAGATAAAGAATTTTAAGATAGTGAATAAATAATAAATAGGTTTGAATTTGAAGTAAATTTGATGCATGATATTGTAAAGTGGTATTAAAATATTTACAAATTTAAAACGTGGGTTGGGTAAACTAGCGCCCCTACTGGCTTATAGATGCAACAGATTTTCGGTAAATAAAAACAAACAATGCTGGTCATTTCATCCCTTCGCCATTTCGTACTTTGACTCAATTCATTAAATCAAAATTCAAATTAATTTAATTTTGGATTCAATTAATACAGACTTTGCAAAAACACTTTTAACTGCCTATTTTAGTAGTTCAATATACTTTGATATGCTTCAACACATAAACCGTCTCAGCACTGCTGCAGAAGCTAATATCTACTCTCCCTCATCGCCGCTTTTGGAGTTACAGCCAATCAGCACCAGGAAAAATAAATGGTGCACCTGGATTGGCTGCTTTGATAGTGTATCAAGTCACATTAATCTGAGGAATTGTCTTTCCAAAAAATGTAGAAAAACTCTTTAAAAGAAATTGAGGAATTAATGGATTTTCCACAAATAATTTGGAGTTATGCTGCACAGAAAAATCCACAAATAGGTGAATCTGTGAATACTGGAAACATCCAGTGTATTTCATGCACTGAAAGAATTTGAAAAAGTTTCAGGAGTATCTAAAATAAATTCAGGCCTTTCAGGGTTTCCCCCTTTGGAAGTCCCTCATTCATTCAGCACATTGCTCAGATGAATGCTGAGTTTCAAGCCAGGCCCCTTTGGGTCTGCAACCTCTGAGCAGGCTGCCTAAACACACAGCGCCCAGCATCAATGTCTGATGTCAAAGGAGGATTTGGACACCACTAGCTTAGACTGACGGAAGCTGAATTATACTTTAACATAACCCACAGTCTCAGATTTCATTTGAGAAAAGACAAAAAGGGACAATTCCCAATCCTGTTTGTGACAGAATTAGGATTAGACTCGCACAAAAACCACAATATATGAAGTCAAACCTGGACTGCAATGTTCAGATTCTTAAACAATCTGAAAATGGTGAAAAATAGCATAATTCCATAAAAGGGTTTTCTAAGTGTTTTTACGAATTTTAAAATCTCATATTGTCTCCTGAGCTGGTTGTATTATTACACCCCAATTAATTATGAGAGGGAATACAGTCGTATACGACGCATAGGTGTGCTTGTGGGTACAAAATGGAAATGATGGTACGACATGACGAAGGGGAAAACTGACCCAGAGCCTGATTCATCCAGTAAAATGTGAGCAGTACAGTGTAGAAAAGGGGAAGGAAAAAAGATAAATTTGTTTTTTATCCACATTCATTCAGCTTTTCAGTTATAACTCTACAGGGCATAAAATTCATCTTCTTTGCAGCCATCACCACAATAAACCAGAGCAGTTTATACTCTTTGTAAGTCATTTATAAACTGCCAAGTACATTAACTGTTCAAGCTGCTTTAGAGAGTAAAAAAAAGTAAAGCTTATCACAAAAAATAATAAGGGAGACTACGTAAAATAATTGAGACCCATGTACATATCAACAGCATATATATATATTACATTACAGGTTTTTGGGGGATCTTCGGAACTGTTGTTTAAGTGGTTGGAACAGTAAAAAAAGAAATCCAGAGAGTTGCATCTTTTCAGTCTTCTGGCTTTTAAAAAAATGCTAAGAAGCAGTTCCACAATGTGCAGCTTTCCTCCTGGAAATCCATGCTGAGAGGAGCTGCGTCAGAGGCCGTCATCTCCTTCTGGTTTTTACCTTTCCTGACCTTTTTTCCAGTGATGAACCTGAGTGTTCGTGATTCCTCTACAGAGTCTGTACACGCCACTGTCTGCAGGACAGCCTCGTCCATCTGCAGGAATAACCTTCTGGAGAGTGCGAGCAGTCTGTGTCAGCACCATCCTGAGAGCAGCGACGGCAGGCCAGAAGGTGAGGCAGCGAGTCCCAAATGTTCCTTATTGTAATCTGGCCTGAGGTCAGAACCGCTCCCACTGCTTCTGCACTTATGGGCCCTGAGTTGGCTCACTTTTACTCATCAATGACTTGCATCCCAAAAGAACGTTCTTACAGCTTTGGGCAGCAGATGAAAGAGAGGAAAAAAGAGGGAAGGCTGTGGTTCTGTGGTTTGTATTCTTTCTGTTTATGTTCCGTTGTGGCTGTGGACACGTTATGACCCTGCATGGCAGAGAGAACACCTTCCAGGCTTTGGTTTTCAACTGACAAAGCATGTGTGTGTGTGTGTGTGTGTGTGTGCGTGTCTGCATTACATATGCATGCATGTGTGTGTAAACTGTGTATTATGTCAGTATTTGTGTGTATAGATTTCATTGCAAGCCTTTGACTGTTTCTTCAGACATTTGGGGAGATGCTTAATGTCCAAACTTTGCTAAAAAAATAAACAGTCCTGGACAGAATCCTGAAGATCTCAACTTCACGTGGAAAAAAACAAAACATAAAAGAAATGTGCGAAGTGTGCACTGGCTTAATCCACCAACAACATCTGGAATCACTGATGTTACGACGGCACAATGTTTTCAGCTTGTCCAACACATAAACAACACTGCAGTCCCACAGGAGATCCCTGAGGCGACACGCCACCTGGAGAATGAAACAAGTGAGAACAGTTCAGATGTTTCTTTTTCAAAAGAAAGACAATATAACATACAACAAATATTTATTTTTTTTGTTTGTCTTTTAGAAGAGTTTTGTTTATTATTTTTCTCTCTGTCAAGCCCACTACGGGACGAGAGGCAAAGGTTGGAAGAGTCTAATAACTAACTTTAGTTTATCGTATGCATTTACTTCAAACATCATGTGCAGTAATGCATCACTGTTTTGGTTCAGTGAAGCTGGAAAAATTGATAAATTCGTATTCATATCCTCTGTACCTTCTGAACTAACCATCAACACCTAAACATAAATACTGTTCAACATTAGAATAATTGTTCTTACAGACTAATTAGGAACCAGTTGAATCAAAGTGACAGCACCTTAAAGGAACCAACAACATGAAGATTAAAATGATCCGAAATAACATAAGCAGTTCCCAAGATTTGAACAGGAAAAATACATCGTGACTGATTCATGTCTGACTTCATTCTGATAGCAGCTAAGATAATAAAATGGATCCTATTCAAACGTAAAATGTGCATAAAGCTTTGGAACATCAGGTTCACTTCTGCTTCAAGGTTGTTATATAATAACTCCCATGTTATTCCAAATCCATATTCACAGGTTCATGAACTGAGTGCCAATAATTCGCCCTCTGGTTTTCTATATTGATTCAATTTATAGGGACATTTCAGGTACAGGAAGATGACAAAGTGAAAAACTGGTGACAAAAAAATCTCAATAAGATTTTATGTCAAAGCAGTTTTAACCTCATTATGGGGGAAAAAGTCATTAAGAACAGTTTTATGTTGATGCTCAGATATCCAGCAAACATAAACTAACCAAATTCATATCTACAGATGAAATATATAATGTGATATTTGCTGAAATACTGACAAAGTGACGATATTAAAGGTAATTAATGTCATCATTACTATCATCATAAGCTTCTAAGCAGATAAACTATATTTAAACAAAATAAAAGCATTATTCAGACGATGATTTTGATTTTGTTGAAGCGCAAAATAAATAAATTGTAAAAATACCAGCAGCCAAGATGAACGCTTTGAAAACTAATTCTGATTCTTATTCTTCCTCTTACTGTGGGTCATTTTCTATTTCCTTTACATTTCATTTCATTTGGAGGGATGGCAAAAAGTCACAATTTCAAATGCAACAACAAATTCACCAAAACATTTAGCATAGATGTAGCCAAATGGCATTTTCCTAAGTGTGTTTGCTGCTTCAGACTGAATGATGTCAGATTTTTCCTGTGGCTGCAGTGCTGAAGCCACAACCTGTTAAAGGTTCCCATCACACAGAGAGGTTTCAGAAAGACTGAGAAAACAGATGTTGGCAGCTGGAATGCAAAGAGAGCAGGACTCACCTCAGCTGCAGCACGCCAAAGGCTTCAAGGCCAAAGGATAAAGGCAAGAGAAAAGAACAAGAAGAGAAAGAGAAACTGTAGAAAGAAAGAACAAGAGAAAGAGGAAAAAGTTTGATGATTAGAGGAACAGTTGACACATGTTAGTACCAGAGACAAAAAAGACTGAGGTTACTTTATAAAACCATATATCTGCATATTATTAATATTGTTTGTTTGACTGTATGACATCCTTTTTATACTCGGAGGTAAACATTGTTTTTAATTTAACAGTCACTATTATAACTAATATTTTGTACTAGCTTTTTTTCTGTGTGTGTATATATATATATATATATA